CGGTCGCGTGTAAGTCAGCCTTGAAGGTGATTGGCCAGACCTGGTGCGCACGCGAAAACAATCGCGAGAGGTTGAACGTTGCACGCGGATTTGGACTGCTACAGCCTTACATACGTCATTTAGAGCTGAGTTGCTTAGTTAACAGCAAGCGCTATATATAACCGGAGATTTTCTCGACTAACCAGAGGCGACCTTGCTGCTCATACTACTAGATATGCATTTTCGTTCGTAGATGAGCTCAAGAATGAAAATTTAGGGAATAAGCACATGATCTATCTTAACGTGCAGTCTGCTCACAAACATCGTACTTCGGGCGACGACTGAGCGTCTCTTGCGCCCTGTAGAGGCTGTGGCGAGGTCCCGGACTATTTGTGACCTGCAACATTCTCGCCTCCATATTTATTTGGCTGTCCTTTGGGTTTGAATACACTGCCAACACCACTGAAACTTTATCCCCGTTCACACGAGGACTTCAGGTTGTAACTAATATTTTACATACCTTTGAACTCTTGATGATTTTGGTCATTGTTGCACCTGATTGTTAGGTTAGGCATCAACCTCACATAAGTTGTAAGTGCTCTAACCACAAGGCCTCTGCAATGCCAAGACCAGAAGTCCGCAAGCAGCTGGATCAAGTGGCAAACCCCACATTGCCGTCGTAAGAATCAGTAATGGATGTAACCCCATCCCTCTTCCGCATGACTCACTGCTGTCCTTCTCAGCACAGTTTTAGTCTCGCTTGACAGGTTTTTAGTGTAATCTGAACTGACTTGCTTAGATAACTGTCCCCCCGTTCCCCCTCACCGTGCACAACCACATAGCATCTCAACAGTTCAGGCTTTAGGCAGGTAACATTGTCGGCAAACACAAGGGAAACTGGCAATGCTCTCTGCCTGGACTGCTGGCCGCTGTGCGGCTACTGGCGAAGCTCGACAATAAGCATAAAGGCAGGGCGAGACACATGATTTGGGTTAGCGATCGGTGAACGTCGATCAACGAGTGTCAGTTCTTGCCTTATTTACCTAATACGCTTCGCTCTGCTAGATCGATGTTCACCGGGACAATTCATATTGTCTTATTAATAATAGACAATGACCGTAGAGTAAGAGGTCGCGAAACTGTATGACGTCAATTAATCCTAAGTAATTCATCGCCTTTACCTGGTCCAAATTGACTGACACAACTTGCCTTAGAAGACAACTGGTGGCGCCTATTCGGTGACCTTTTGTAAGTTCTTTCTCAAAGTGAGAAGCTAGTACAGTCTAATCTATCTTCCCCGACTTCTGATTTGGGAAGCCTTCGTGTTTTCAACGATATCACCTCGACACACTGTAATGCAGTTAAGTTTAAAAATCACGTTATTCGCCTTCTTTCAAAGAGCATTACAGCATTTGTAAAGTAAAATTACGTTGATATAATGACTGATGGAGATTTTAATTTTCAACTGAATTAAAACGCAGTTTAACCGTCGCAAAGGGGGCCGGGGGTGACTACCGTCGCTCCCCGCTAGGTTGCAGTGACGAAGACTTAGGAAGTATTAGAAAAGCTTTCCTTCCTCCCTTATCATGTACGAGTGAATAATCCGACTCAAGCCGA